GAAAGGTAATTAAGAGAAAATAATTATGTGTACGTGGCACTTCCTTGCTCAGTTGCTGATTGGCCAGAGTATAATTAATTGAGGCTGTTGAAACTAAAAGTGGTGGCGCCATCCATAGGGCAGCCCGGGGCAAATCCCACCGTGTGGGTCACCCGGAGCCTTCAAACTAAACCGGGAGTATTACATCTCGCACTGTGACGTCGAAGCGTGGGGCTGCCCCCCCCCCCCCCCCCCAAAGCACGGGGCCCGGGGCGGTCGCCCCCAATTCGTCATTACCCAAGGAACTGCGGCTCTCATAGTAGGGAACGTCTCGAAACAATGTGATGAAGGCTCTGAGCTGGATCCTGACAAGTGTTAAAGCGCATATTTAGAAGCTCGCTGTTGTTTATGAAGCTGGAAACGTGCTCTAACCACTTCTGGCATCTGCCTTCACCGTATAAACTATCCATGTATAAAGTATGGGGGGCTGAGGAGTGAGCATCGCTCATCGCGCTGGTAATTATAAAACCCAGAGAAGATTGTTTTTTTTATATCTAGTTATTATAATTGTACATTTTCGTACGTCAATATCTTTAATTTAAAGCGCACAGAATTCACTGTCTCCGTCTAGAACCAAGCACGTGGCTTGCAGTATATCAATTCTACCTTCCCGTGGCAGGAGCCCGACTGTGTGCCCGGCGCCCACTGTTTTACTTCCCACACAACGGCGATGCCCTTGCGGACATCGTGAGCCTGGATCTGAGCTCGCAAGCTTTTGATTACCAGTTTTGTGCTCCCGTAAGCAGTACGACGCTGCATGATTTTACTTAAATTATGTATGCAGTATATGTTCGTAGGGTGCTATTATCGCGCTGAATTTATTTCCAGAATGTATCCAATTTCCAATAAATATGGGCACTGTAAAACAAAGGCACCTCAGTGACTGACACATCTCAATTGGCCCTTAACCTTTTTAAAAATAAATTACAGCTCGCCTACCCCTAAAGTATTTAGAGTGGAAAAACTGTTTAAAATATGGCTGGTAAATTATTACATTCTGATGGAAAAAGAGACAATAACTGTGTTCTTGGCAAGATAATTATAGGGATCTAAAAAGCATGTGACTGTCCATTTTATATACAGCTTTAAACACAACCTGCCTCATGCCACGCATGCTTCTGAAGCCTGATTTAAAATTAACCCAGCATGCATTTAGGTGTTTATAGAGGGAAATGTTACACACCTTTTGAAGGAGGTTAAACATTAAAAAAGATCTATACACCCAGTGGCGTAATCATTAACAGAGGCTTGGCTAATGATCATGTAGGCAGGTCAAGGAAATTGCCCCTCACTGACGCGTTATCCATATACTGTATGGCAAATATATACATCTAATTTTAAATTACTAATTATTATTATAAATACCTATCATGGCCATGCCAAATGCTGGTTAAGTCGGAGCCCTGCAATTACTAGCTCACCCCACTGCTCGCAGAAGGGCCTACATTAGAGGGAGCTCTCGAGAGCTCCTCTGTAGGGTATTTGGCCTACTCTTCCACGGTGACCAGACGTCTTGGAAGCGGTGGGAGTGCCCACACTTTCGCCCACCACACACGTGACCTGCCATTCGAGTAATTTGCCCGTTGCTCGGGGTAATATTTCGTGTGTGGGCCTGACATATCAAAGGCTTGAAACTGTGCACAGGACGAAGGAATGATGGTACAATTGTTGAGACTGGTGACAGAATGTTAGTGAAAGGAGAGAATGCTCCCGGGAGGATACGCACCGCAGAGACAAAGCAACGAGGTCGGCTCATGTACAAAGCCGAGATGAATTGTAGTACCACAAAGACCACGAGGGATGTCTGTGTTTTGTCTCTCTCTCAAATTTAGCAATCTTTGGAAGAACGTACAGGTAGGGTGTTGAATGTTGTGTTAGCCGACTCTCTGTGTTGTATTGCATTGTATTTCTAAGTTTACTAGGTTTGTTTTTCTACCTGATGACGATTGCTTGTGTTGCAATCGAAAGTCGTATTCTATTATTAAATTTATTTTCTATCTACGTGACTTTACCGAAAGAACCAAAGAGTAATTCCTGCAGTCACGAAAGCTTCAAATCAAGTTAATATACAATATCATTTAACATTGTGGTTAGACCACATGACTTGTAAAAAACAATGTCACAAGGTAAGATCCTGTTTTGGGGGAGGGGTGAGTGTCGCTAATTTGCCTATTTTATCTCTCTGAGGTCAATACCGTGAGTTTCCTTTACAAGGAAAAAGGTGGTTTCCTGTCCAGTGACTGACCTCATCCGTAGGTGCGTGGACATTTCATCATTCGCTCTGGGCCATAAACGAAGGTGAGTACGAATCCCATTCCAATACTTTCTGAAAATGATGAAAAACTCATTCCAGCCAACATGCACTTTTCTACCTGATCAGTTTCTCATCATTTACAGGTGTCAGAATTGGTTTATTGATGCCCTTCGGCAGTGGCAAACCGTTTGCACAGTGATCAAGAGGGGATTACCAACTTAATTGCCTGCGCGATGAAGCAGTTGTACGCAATTATGGCTGTACCTTGCTGATGATTCCTAAGAAGGAGGCAACTTTTGTGCAGTTCTCTCATTCGTCTGCTGCTGTCTAAAATCAAATGGTCACAACCTTGAGTGTGTTGAGTTGGTGGTCTAGCAAAAGGTTGTGTGCATCTATACACGCAGTATGGTTATGTCACGTGACATGCACAGCATGATGGGAGGACTGATTACATGGTCACAGTTGTGCATCTTGCTCTATTGTTTTTGTCGGAGTTGAGCACTGCCTCCTATTCGTTTGCATCTACGAATAGCTCGTGGAACGAAGACACGATCGCGGATTGTGAAAAAGACAGATTTGGCATGCGTTACCAATCGAGGCATTTGAAGCCATTGACAAGTTCACTTCCTATGGCATTGCCTGTGTCCGCCCAGCAGAAGCAATATGCGTCGCAATGCAATACGTTAATTACAGCGGTGGCTCTTAACATTTTGTGGACCGAGTTGCCCTTTATAAAAGTTGCCCTCATAAAAAATATGTTCGTGTTTTCAATGGCCAAAAGTAAGAAGCAATCTACGGATGTTAACAAGTCAGTAATGGAACGCGGTCAGTGTTTGACCACGACTGCAGGTTAAAGGAGGTCCATTGGTGGCCCTCGATGCAGGAATTTGGTCTCAACTGAATCTGGTGAGGAAGTCAAAGTGTTTAGAGTGACTCATTTAAAATGGTTTCTCGTAAAAATATATATTTAAGACACTACATCTAGTACATTGTGATGTTTACTGTTGTGTAAATGTGTTTTTTTTATCAAAAAAAGTTACAAATAAAGGAAGGTTAAACAATAAAATAATATACAGGCAATTATAAATCAAAGGGGTTGTTTGACCATACTTCACCACACAGTGTGAATTGGTGAAGTGGCACGCCCTGGCACTGGTTAAGATAATTACATTCAGAAAAAAACTCAGGTCACCGAATTCATAGAAGAGTGCGATAGCCACTGCATTCATAGCGTCGTGCACTTTCCACTGCACCACCACTCCACCCAAAAGGAAGATTATAATGACCTATATACATATGTTATATTTAGTAAATTTCCTTTTTGTGTCAATATACCCATACAACTTGGACTCTTGCGATGCTCAATGCCAATCAGGAGTGAACTCAAATCAGAATCAGATAATCGGAATCTTCATTTATACTGCAGGAGGAATCCGATGAGCAAAAAAAAAAACCCTATTTTCCACAGATGTCCAGCCGGGGCGGGTGAGAAACTCACTCCATCTGTCCTCCAGGGTTGATAAAATGAGCACCATTTCACACAAATCTCAAGCGATGTTCCTGTGGATGCCACCGAGGACATTTACACCACTGGCTCGAGGCAGCCAATGGAGAAAGAGCACCGGCCAACACTCCGCTGAACGTGGGCAGGCGCTCACTTGTTACCCGGTCTCCTTTGCAACAGACACGTTTGTCCCGGTGGGCTTTTACTTTGTTACGAATAAAGTTTAATGTACTCATTTACTTTCGTTCTATTTGCTAAACTCACAAGGCTAAGTGCTTGCGTGAGGTAAGCGTGTCGTGACTCACTGTCTCCCTGTTTAGGGGGGTCCCTTGATGTTGTGACTATTTCCGTGGGTTACACCGAGTGGCTGCCGAGAGCTGGGACATTATTTATCTCATGATCTATCGATAGAATTGCGAGCTGAATGAAACCCAGCCCTAGAGGAGGCACCAGGCGTGCAACTGTACGAGCACTATCGTGTTTATCCAGAGCTAAAATGATGCAAAAATGTGTCATTAAAAGTTTAATATTGAACAATTTCTCGACAATGCAGTTGTAGGACCCGGTATTCATACCTAATGCAAATGCATTGCGTTTGGGATATTCTTAGAAAATACAGCAAATAATTGGATAATGAGGGAATGTCCATGTTTTGAAGGTCATTTCTGGAACGGTGTCTTGGGAAAGACCGATGTGCTATAAATCTATTTGTCAAGTTAATGTAGAATGCAGGATTTTTCACTGCAGCTGACCTTTACATTTTATGTTCACATCTACCATGAAATATGCTATGTTTAGAAGTATATCTGGAATAGTATCTAATGTGAGTAAGTGGCTGAGTGACCGATGTAAATTGCAATGTTCTACAAGGGCTTGAGAGCCGGCACTTCTCCCATCATATAGTAATAACCCATGCCTGTGAAAGTTGACATTCGGAGATTTTTGAGGAGTGCAGGATTCAAATATAGCATCATATTTTGAATTACTCAATGTTTTGCAGGTGCTTTATATAAGAATGAGACACTAGAGCCAACAATCAGGTTGCTAGCATCACGGGTTCTTTGCCCCCAACGGTCTACAGAGGCATTGTGGGAAATCGTTGTCCTTCTGTTTCTGTGCTGTAGTAAAAGTAAGCGCGTACAACTCCATTTATAAATAACATATTTACATTGTTTAATGGTCGTAGTTTCGTGTGCACTTCACCCACGCCACAATTCTACAATTCAAACTCAACAAACATAAAACAGATGGTAAGTAAAACTAAACAATGCTATTAAACCATTGGACACAACACAGAGAGAGCAATTTAGAAGAAAACATAAAATGAGATTTAATGCGATTAAATTCAGGTGCCGAGAGCAGTTAAAGAGACACAGAGGACATTGTCCCTGGAATATTTAAATGGCAATCTATTATTTAAATGTTTAAATGAAAATCTATTAAAACTCGGCTGGCCCCCTTCCTAAGAACTCTGCTGGAAATGAGGGGAGACAATGGGCATGGCTAAGTCGCAGGGTTCCGTCGAGTTTAATTAACGCGCGCTGATTTAAACCCGAATGGATCACCGCAGAAACACGCTGATCCACACTGTGCATAGCATCGGCACAATTGGCCGTCTCTTATCCATTGGCCAAAGCTAAACTTGAAGCGATTCCCATTGCGATCTCAGTCTAACGGAGCAGCTTTATTCACCCGAACGTATATGTACATTAGTCTCGAATTTTAAAAAAGCAGTACAAACAAAAACATACAACCTTAATCAATGCAGTATATTGCGTAGCAATTAAAGGCGAATTTGTAATACTGTCATCTGTACAATATGTATAACTTATGGTGGACATCCTTCAAATGATCATGGCTGCTATTGTAATGTTGCACTGTCATGTCGTGTCGTCAGAGTAGAATTGGCCTGTATACATAAGTGCGTATGCAACTTCTACACTCACACGCTAAACATTATCTACCTCCCTGGACACAGTTCTATAAGTTCACTACATGTATAGCTTTAATTCAAATCTAGTTATATTGTTTAGAGAGTGGTTTTCTGTTCAATTACTGCTCACGTTAAAAATATCCACGGATCAATCGTCTCAAATTCCCATGGTGTTGCCAAGGTACCATATGGTAAAGCTGAGCCTCGGACGATGGCGGGGTCAATACACCGGCATTCCCTGCTCAGACAAAACAGATGTCTGAAATGTTAACCTACTCAAGACAGGTATGTTTCTTCTCTCAGGCAAAATAGGCATTTGTTAACACCCCCCCCCCCCCCCCCACTATGTCAGATGCAAATATCAACAAAGAGTGGTTAGTCAACCCATTTCGCATGTACAGGACGTGATGTCAGCACGTTACATTTTAAACGCGTTGAAAAGCACTTGTGTAAAGTATTGTGCTGCGCATGTTAGTACTGTAATATAAACACGTTAATAGCTAACCAATTTCAGGTTTACACAAGTACTGTCGGTACAAGCTGAACATTTTCCGTTCACAGTGCACCTTACGTATACGCCAGTTTACAAAACGTGTTTAGGGCACGCGGGGAGTCAAGATCACGGACACTGCTTTGTGTTGTGAAGCTGATGAAACCTTTTGGCGTGCCCCCAACGACACGAGTTGTCTCAATTGTATGCAAAACAACCCCTGCATGATGACTAGGCTTTGTTTACAAGGCCCGTTCAGGACAATGTGAGATTAATATACTGTTAAGTCGTTGCCTATCCTTAGGGTTGCACAATTTATTAATATGGGCGGTACAGCTGTTGCATCTGCCGGTCATCTCGGTCAACCAACCTATGGCACCTGGGTCTGTCCCGAGACCTGTCAGCGAGCCTTCGACACTTCACGTGGCCTCAAAGTGCACCTGGCCTGGCACAGGCGCCGTGGTGACTTCACCGTCACTTAGTGGCGACTGGTGGGAGTTGTTTGTTGTGGTAATGGGTTCATATCGCCCGTTAAGCAGATGATCTACATATAGAACTAGTTGAAGGTAACTACTTAAATGAAGTTAGATCATTGTCGCGGCCTGGTCAACAATGACCGCACGTCATTTCTAGTCTGATAATTAATTTAAACCTTTTTTTTCATCGATTTATAGCGCTTTCTGCAGAGCATATTCAAGATATCGTTCCCAACGTAGATCAAGAAGCCCATTGAAGTGACCTCAAAGTAGTTCTGCAACGTCATCTCCCATTTCCGCTTTCTGCAGGGTGATGCACTGCTCGCTGCTCGGTTTCTGAATCGAGCTCTTCTTGTCTCGTGACAAGATGCTGATAGCACATTTTGTACTTTTTAAAATGTGTTGGAGACCCTGAGTATGCTATTGAATGATAACTGCACTGAATTTATTTCAAAGTACTGTACATGCCCTTGCCTACCTCTTATAGAAAAAAACTGGTTACAAAAATGTTCACGACCGATAATATCTCATGTACAAAATTACGCAGTTTATTGATACAAATTTACAATTAGCATTTCCTGCTACGATTCGTTTGTCCCCTGGCCTGATTCGTGCGACCGGTTATTGGGGATGTTTTCATCCTTAGGCTGCTCTTGTGCGGCAGAGGGATCTTCCGTCTGGTAGACCCAGGTGCTTGGATGGCTGATGGCCTCCTCGTAGGAGGGCGGTGGCACTTGCAAGGCAGCCTCTGTCCACGTGACGTTCACAGCACGGTACGGCATCAGCCCAGGTGTGCTGACCATGCCACTGGGGGGAGTGAAGGAACCGGGAAGGCATTGAGAATGTTAAACCTTTGAATGCATTCTTGACGCAAAAAGAAAAAAAACCCACCTTGTAATGCGTGACCTGTTCAGATCCGGTTAGGGTTGCAACCTCCAAAAAGTAAAACTGAGACATCGTGGGAAGCAGAATTATATCACAATACCAGAAGACGGGAGAACGGCATGTAAATATTACCGCCTTATGTGTTGTATTATAATGCACCTGACCAAAACAAGAAAACAGGACGAATAATTGTTCTGGAAAGAAGTATTGATTTCCGAGGACAGCTACATCCACAAGAGGACAATGCCTCTAAAACAAGGACAGACGAAGTATATCTTTGCGATGTAAGACAAGGGCAGGATTGTAACAGGAACCTTATAAATCTAACCATATGCTAAGCAGTCACAATGTCTGGAATGAGAATCACATCATGGGAAAAAGCTGTTAACCTGACTTTGGCCTAAAATTATCAACAAATACCGTACAGCTTTACATATAATTTCGGAGCAAATTTAAACCTAACGCCCTTCGTCAGTAAATGTACGTAAACAAATGTAAATGCATCTCAATCCCGTTAAAATAAAAAGACAATGTATTCGTGTGTAGAGCAGTGGCATAGTAGTTGGCACGACCACCATCCTTAGTTCAATGCCTCGCCATAGCCACAGCCGTGGTGAGTAACGTCTGAACTGTTATTTGGTCCCAGCCTTCACCAGCCCATATCGAGCAGCATGGTGAAGAATGGCACGGGGATGCCTTGAATCCAGCAGTGGATTGAAAAAAAGTCTGTAAATGACGGTAGTATTTTATGTATTACTGTAATTATGAATACCTACTGTATTGTCAGCTTACGGCATAGCGTCTATTTATTATATTTTCCGCCCACCAACAAAATAAAAATAACTGTGGGACCGGCTGCGAGGATTGCCTGCAGTGTCATACGCGAACACACTTTCACCTGTTTACAAAGGGAGCCTTCAATTCCTGGCCTTTGGCTCGCATCTGCGTTGAACGATTTATGAACTGCTCTTGGGTTCCCCTTGACCAACAACGCACTGACCAGCATGGTGAAGTATGCTTACAAACACCCATTTGACAAGCTAATTGTTTACTCTTTTTTGGTTTTCAAACGATGAGTGGCCATTCATAGAAGCTCGCTTTATACGTTACCGTTACTGACAAAAAAAATGGTGAAGAGTTATATCTTGCACACGTGCTCATTATAGCCAAGTGTCTTCCGTGGCCATGTTTGTGCTGATGATGACACAAGTCCTCGTTCGTGGGGAATGGACAATAGACGGCACAGCCAGGGACCAGCACACTCTTAATGTGCCGTGAAAATAAGGCACTCGATTCTAGGTGTGCGTTCGAAGAGTCCACGAGGCATGTCACGTGATTTATAACTGAAGTTGGTTTGCACGCTCACGTACGATGCACCAAACGGTGCATGTTAAATGAATTATTAGTATGAAAGTCATAAACTCATGTGCAATTGTACATTTATGCAAAATGAAACGATGAATACTGAAGAAATGGAACTGACGATACAAATGATTATACAAATTAGCAGCAAAAAATCTCATCTAGAACCGAATCGTGGCAATTCAAAGGATCTACATCATGGGACCTCCTTTGCCAGTACCAAAATATGATTATAGGTTTTTTTCTCATTACTCTGATAGTGCATCGTTGTCTTTGGGCTGTACGCCTTTTGGCGTCCTCTGGCCTAAAACCGTTTGAGACGAGGCTCAAAAGAAAGTTGTCTGGTGTGGACCAATCAGTTTCAAAGACAATGCATATATTATCAGAGTATGTTTTTTGTTTGCATTTTGACCACAAAAATGCAGACATGATTCCTTGTAAAAGGTTTCAGTTTGGTGTTTTACCATCTTGACACCTGTTTTGTTGCCAGAAAAAAGTGGAAAAACCTATAATCATTTCAAAGGATGTCTGGGGAGGCTGGGGACTGAATATATGCGTTCCATGTCCCGCTACCCCAGGTGAAAACAAGAGAGACACAAACGTGGCTTACCTATGGCTAGCCGCTCCATTGTATAGTGGAGGCGGAAGATAGGCAGGCCCTGTGCCTGGCATGGCTGCGGCATTGTCATAGGCGTAGGCAGCGTACGCGGGCGGTGGCAGTGTGCTCCCTGCGTAGGGGCTGATGGTGAACATGCTGGACTCCCCTTGCCTCTCGTCTTGGTTGGCCTGCACACACCTTTGAGGGAGGGAGGTTCGTCCGTTCATCATTCATTCATCACTCTAGAGTGTTTGCACAGAAGCCCTTTTGTAGAAATAGCTGCATAGAAGCGGGGGCATTAAAATCGCACACATCCGCGGGAGAGGAATTATTTAATCGCTGATCGTGTTCATGGGCCAAGCACACACCAGGAACCTAATCATAAGGACAGAAAATATATTGTGGGTGGGTTATTTGGAGGATGGTGAAGGGAATGAGACAAGGTGCAGACAGACAGGAATTCATGTTCACAAAATGTACAGGGCAGGTTGAGGAAATGTGAATTGAATCAAACTTATTTGGATGCATAGATGTCGTTCTTGCAGTGAAAGATGTGTAAATGAAATGAACATTAATGACACATTAATTGATAAGTATCGATGGCCATTAATTTTGTTTGTATGGAATACGCTACGACTGTACTCATGAAGAGTCACACACAGTGATTACTGATCACTCAAAGTTCCATAAGCAATGCAACACCACCCCCATATTTGGGATTTCGGAAGTGATCTAATATGCATTGTCAGATGCAGGGCTTAGTAATGATTTACCACATCTCTTTCCACTGAGATTTGGTTGAGTCACTGTTCGATGAATTCCATTGATTCACTGTGTTGCTTGTCACAGCGATGCACACGCTCGATCTTGTTCGCTCTCTGTCATTCATTCTATGAGCCGAAAAGTAACATTTAAATATACTGTACTGTACAGTAGAATCCCACTGTCTGTGGTGATTATTCCTCTTCTGTAATATGGTTTTTTGCACAATAGCAGACTTGCTGTAGAGGAGCAGCAATAAGTTGTCAACTTACAAAAAATATAAATGTAATTATAATAACAACAAGAATAATAAGAAAGACTGTGGTGATGTGGAGGATGAAAATTCTCCAAGGATCATTAGAATTTCACCTACCCTGCTTGCGAGGTTCAGGAATTCAAAACATTTGAATGTCCATTTGATCCAATCACTTCTTGAGAGCATCTCTAATCTTATATAAATGATAATTGTGACCAGGATCGCATTATTGAGTGGATTATGCTAACTCTGGGTTTGTTGATCTCACTAAAGCAGAGCTACCCTTGATGCCATGTGCCAGCAATAATTTATAGTATTACTCTTAATACAAATTAGTTTTTTAAATACTTATTGAAGGGTGAACTGTTACTGAATAGCTATTAAGCGGTAACTATTTACCGGCCGGCTTAAACACTGATCATGAGGAAATATATGTCTGTATTGTCATTCTTATAAGGCCCCATGGTATAAAGTGCCGTCTCCAACTCCACTCGATCTCTCTGGGCTATCTATGTTCACTGAAAAAGGACAATTGCCCAAAACGTCACCTCGTACATATGTTTCATTGAGTTTTATATTGTCGGTGGATTTAAATGTATCGAACGCGAAATTTTTGGATAGTCGCAGATAATAGGAAGAATAGGACAAAAATAACAGTTTTTTTTCAGAGAACCTAAAGGTCCTATAGGTAATAGGTTTGCGGGTAATAGGGCTACAAATAAGAGGAGTTCCGTCAATTCCACGAATTATAAATCATAGATTTTTTTTTACTCGCAAAATGTGATGCCTGTGCCATGACAGTGAGAATTGATGTCATTCATTAAATGGTTACACGCCAAAGTGACGAGACACACATCACAGAGTGAGCACATAGATTCCTAAAACCAAGGCACGAGGCATGTGGAAACGAACATATTTTACAGCTTCGGTTATTGTGGAATATTTGCACAATAAAGCACGGGAACAAGCGTGCAGAGATGGACAAACGGAGTTGGAACGATGGAACGGGAGGTGCAAAGCAATCGGCAAGATTGTTGTTGGCCAGCACCGTGCATAACACTGGTATGAATTGAGTTCATTCAGCAGTGAATGTTAAACTTCTTACATAACGGAATACAAAATTAAAACTCGTAAAACACATCGACTATTCAAAAAAAAATCTACAGCATTCATATAACAACGTTAATTGTGTAGCTTAATACGAACGAAATAATAGGTTCATAGTTTACACATATGGCGATTCCCCAATTGGGACAGATGCTGTTAGTGGGTGCTTATTTGAGGAGGGCCTGGCCTATCGTCGCTAGGATAACCCTTTTAACAAATGCACCATAACGCTCCACAACGAATTAAATATCCCCCAATTAGCCAGAAACGTGTTGTTAGTGAGCACCTATTAGCCGTAATAGGGTTTTTTTGGGTTAGATTGCGTAAATATAAATGCGTCGTTCAACCCACCATCACCGGACAGCCAATTAGTAAGGTTTGAGTAAACCCACAACACTTACAATTCGAGTACAATTCCAGTACTCAAGTACCATTCAAGTACTCGAATTGTAAATGTTGTAGGCGGGTTTAACAACACATTTATATTTGCGCGAACTAACCCAAAAACCTCTGCTATGGATAATATTGGTCGCGAAAGCCTTCGTGTTAATGGAACCTATTAGGTCTGCATGGCACACAGGGGATTGGTGTGGCCAGAACCATGCATACTAGGCCATCTTTGTTATCCCAAGTTGAATCCACCATATTAAGTACTCATTTTAGGCTGATGCAATCCAATGAATGTCAAATCCCAACTTAAACCAATGTGCATGAATCGTACCACAGCATCGTGTGTTGCCCACTAGACCACGACTACAAAGGCATATGCTTTACTAAATTATATATATGTGTGTGTAACTTCCTCTATAATTTTCCGCCATTGCCGACTGGCTTGGGCTGGACACCTGTGGAAAAGAGCTTCACAGCTCATCGGGTTTTTCCGGCTTAAACGAAATGTTCGGAAGCGACTTGATGTGGCCCCCATTGCGGACAAGATGTTTGAGGCAAGGCTTCGGTGGTACGGCCATGTGATGCCAAGTGAAGAGTCATCAGTGGCCAAGACTGCCGTGCGTATTGAGCCAGAGGGCCGCCGTCCACGTGGACGTCCGAAGAAGCGATGGATGATGGATCGAATAAAGGAAGACATGAAGACGGTCAACGCATCCCCCGAAGATGCCCTGGACCGAGCCAAATGGAGAAGACAATGCCGAAAAGCAGACCCTGCGCCACAGCGGGAACAACGCTAGGAAGAAGAAGAAATGAAATGTCTATAATGTTGTGGGGAAAAAAAAACGTGCAGAGACACTCACCTGTAGTGGTACATCCTCCAGGCTCCCAGGGAGGCGCACATCAGCCCAATGGCTATCAGAGCCACTCCTATCCCTGTTGACCAAGTAAACCATCCAATGAGGGTGATTATGATCCCTGAAATCATGAGAAAGAGTCCAAGCAATAGCACAGACAGACTGGCCTTGCCATTCTCCCTTCTCGCTTCATTGTCATTTGTCAGCATGGCTTCAAATTGAAAGCTCCTCTCTCTGTGTACGACAGGTAACCCAACACCCGGATGTCTACTATATGTAAGGCTGCACGGTCGAACGGCTTACTAAGTTGTTTGAGAATGCAGCATTACGAGGACAAACTGACTACCATGACTAGCACTGGCGACCGGGTTGACCAAATGTAGCCTGCGTATTGTCAAAGGGATGGTTTTAGAGTCACGGTGATGCAGCAACCCTCCCCGTGGCCTAAGCCAATTGTAAACAACACTTATCCACCCCCAGTGAACACAGTTACAATGATAACACTTCCCGTCGGTGTGCGTGTAAGCATGGGTTCAAAGTGTGCAGGTGGTAATGATTGCATAGTTTTACCGTTCGCGTGTATTCATTTTACGCGCACGGCACTGAACTGAATTCTTGGTCTGGCAAAGCGGTTGCATTTCATTTTAAATGTGTGCACAGCTGCAACATGTCTCAACTATTTGCACGCATACTGATCATGGTGTTCCGGCACAAGTGTAAATTAATGTTAATACTCCTTCAGTGATAGTTACGTTAGCAGTACAGTACTTTTAATTGATTAAAAGGGGTAGTTCTTCTTAGGGAGACGTGGATGTCTTTCGACATAATTACGGCTCATCAGCGTGTTTTTAGCCAGGTTTTTAATTGTCATTTAGAGGGTATTTGTCCCACTCTTCAAAGCTGGCAATTATGTCTTGGACGAAGTTGGTAGTACTCACATTTTAAACCCACCACAGGCAAATCCCGCCGATCAACAATTGAAGTGAAACCCAAAACCTCCTACTGGGGACACAGAGGCAGGGAGGTTTCAAGGAACCTGGCGCTGCCCATTGCTTCCCCCGCCGCCGCAGTGCCGGGAGAAATCAATCTCTCCGGCTATCGGCGGTTTGCATTCTCCGACCAAAATCTCCGTGACTTTAAAAGGGTGATTTAATTTTAACTTGAAATTCTATTGGAACGTGTTCCTGTGGCAATGGTGTTGTTGGTGGCACTGTAGTTGTCTGTTATTTCTCGGAATATTGAAACCCCACGTTTAGCGCAATGAACTCGTGGGGATAACAACGGCGGTGGTCGTCTGGAGTGGGTCAGTGACTGTTTCATCCCTGCACCCCCCCCCCCAATCCCTAAGGTTGCTACATTTTGTGTTCCATTTTGTGGCGAGTAAACAGTTGATTGTCATAGGATTGTAGAATTTCCCCAAAAAATGGTTCAGGGTAAGGACAAGATGTGAATCCTGCCCCAATGCTCATGTTGGCAGGAAGCCGAAAACGTCTTTGTTTTGCTGTTGGTGTGACTCAGTCGTGAAGTCTGCGTTAACATGAAGGTGAAGGGGGCCTTATCACGTCATTCTTTACAGTGGGCTGTAGTGCAGTGTGGTCAGAGGGAAAACGCAGGTAGAGGCCAACTTCATAGTTGGGGAATATTTTTATGGCCTAATTTACCGCGACTTTTATTGCCACTGCACCATGCGTTATGATGTGGCGTCATGCATGTGATTTGATGCAACAGGAAATGAGTGACTCATGATGTAATTATAAAAAAACACATCTAATGCGACTGGGCGTTCACAAAATTAAACATCACAGTGGATCCGGTCACCATTATGGCTTTTAAGAAATAAAATAAGTAGTAGTAATAAATAAGTAATAGTAATGATATAGACATCTGCCATTTTTTGAAGCACTGGAAATAAATTAAAAATATAACTAACGTCTTTGCCTTAATTTGAATGGCATTGAATGGCATTGAATGACATTGAATGGCATTGAATGGCATTGAATGACATTGAATGGCATTGAATGCTACAGCTATTGTTAAACAAGCCTCTAGCCATCCTAATATCGAGACTGGGCATACGTTGGGTTCTCTATTTTAATCGTGTGTTGACTCTACTCCGTGAACTTTGCCCAATCGTAAAGGTAAGAGTTGTACAGCAAAGAAATTGCATTTGTACAGTGTTAAATGCATTCAATTTCTACCTTTCATTTAAATTATCCATCTTGAAGACGTGCGTGCCTTAAATTAAATGAAACTGTGCCATACGAATGTTCGGCAATTTCCTGTTGAGGAAGTTTGCTCAATTTGACTAAATTATTAGGCATACAGTATTTGTTCTTGGGTTGGGTATCACTCATAGGTTTTTTAGATTGATGCTACATATTCAAGGGATTTATTATTCAAGGAATCATGTGGATGTATTTTCAACGATATAGCTGCAAAGCAGAGCAGCCATCTCACAGAGGGCCGTGAGCCCATTATCCTTCAATGGTATTTACAATAAGTACAAGTATGTGGATAGTAAATCATCGTTTTCCTATGGATACACTGGTCCTTGCTCTGACAAATGCAGAATTCCTAGCATTGGTTTTAGATCACCATTGGAGATGAGGCCTGCCCAATGAGGGTGTCAGCATGGTGACATTGTGACTTTACTAGCCTTGAGACTCAATCACCGGGCACTTGTATTTACTTGCTGATAAAGTCTTCTCAATTACACATATATACATAATTATTTGTGATTGATATTCTCAATACTGACTAATATTATGAATTATCACCAGCTGTTTTGGTACAACAATACGCGTACTTGCTTAAACAATTACAATTAGGTACTGTATATAGAGAGAAACTCGTTTCAACAACAGTGACCTCACATAAGGACACATCTCAGCTTGCGTTTTTCTCTTTTTTTTTATTGCTGCACGTTTCAATTCCTTGTTTTTACTGCTTGAAAAATACAATAGTACAACTCGCATAACAGGGGCTTGTGCATTTCACTGCAGTGGCTTTCCCAATGTCTCAGTCTGCCATGCCGTGATCATTGACGGATGCTTCCTTTGCTTGAAGCGTTAGTCTTGCGTTCCGCCCCAGAGCCTCCCGCAAAATTACAAACATCTGTTATGAGAAACTTTGCTGACTCCGAACCAAAAAAAATACATTCCTGCAAACTTAGCGCAGTGTAGCAGGCAGTGTAATCACTTCTGTAGCCAGACTGTGTGGACAGAGGGGAAGAATGAGTCCGCCGAGTGTGAACCGCAAAAGGTAGGCCCGACTTTCATCGTATTGGCGCACGTCTCTGGCCAGTCCGATTTAAAATTCAGCACCGCGCCCACGAAAGCACACATTACATTTTAATAATTTCATGGAAGACGATTTCATTCAGCCTTCATAATATTTATATTGCAATTTCCATTGATGTGCTAAAGTCGTGCATTGGATACTAAAAGGTGAAATCCCCTTGCATTGCTATTGCCTTTGCAACAAACTTACAGCAGAGATAGTAAGGGGTGATATTTGGTGGTCTGATGCTGTGACATTTTGGGAACTTAGCAGCTTGCAAGCCAGTCACTACATAGTACACAATACACTTATGCATGTTGCATGCTGTATGCGTTATTTGTGTATGTAGAACTCGTTCAATTGATGAAAGTTTTCGTGCTGTTCACAAGCCAGTGGTGTTGTGGTTTTAGTGATCGCCTCACAATCAGGATATGAGATAAATTCCTGGTCAGGTGTTAACTGTGCCCAGCATCCCCCTGTAGTTGATAAAAGGAGTACCACTTTGTGGAAAGTCAAGAGTGGTTATCCCATGGATAGTCTACCCCCATCATGGGTATTTGGAATTTCGACAAATGGCTTAGCACCACCCATGAGACACTGATTTTATTTAATGATATTTTTGACACTATTGCGGAGGAAATATGTTCCAAAAAGATATAAAAAATTAGATCCTGTCAACTCTGGGGTTCTTTCGAATCTTAGAAAAAAAGGTAAAAGTTCCATCAGAAGTTTAAAAATCACAATTAGACTCAGTAGCGTTTGAGTTAAACAGCTCCCACAGTGTTGCCTTATTTGCAGGAATGGACTGTGACCTTGCAGGTGTGTTGTTGTGTATGTACACATGAGTGGCTATTATTGACATGGTTTTATTTTTTTTAACTTATATATTGACAATAAACAGCCACCAGATCATCTTATCATCTCCTTAATCGAATTTAACATTTCTACAAATTTACATTTAAGAATTATAGGGCAGCACTAGGTAACTTTAACCATATTTAATTCTGAAAATCTTGTTTCAATTTTCTTGAGATCAATACAAGTAGGAAAATGACTACATAACTAAAAATAGCTGTCAACAATTGTATTAATACTGTAACTTGTTAGGCTTTTATGCATAAAACCCTCACATTGCCTATTGGCTATTGAGGTAGTCCATGACTGGAGATGTTTGGCTTAATGGTTTTCGTAAATATTTTGAGTATGAGGGCAAAGCATGGAGATGAGATCATGAATGTACTTCCTCTAGGCATCTCATGTATCTTACAGGACTGGCAAGGTGGCACAGTGTTAACACTCCCTGTGTGGAGTGTGTATGTTCACCCCCTACTCTGAATGGTTTCCATCCCAATGATAACAAATTACCTGCAAATTACTCGATTTGGATTAAACATAGCAACAATGCCCTCTCCTGTGAAGACTTGGCTGGACTACTGTGAAAATCAGTAAGACTTTTGCTGACTAAATAAATCATTACAATGAGGCCTAGTTTCACAACCAAGGCTTATCCACCAACCTCACCTCCAGGTTTCTGGATTAAAGTCAAATTGAATCAAGCAAGTCGAGATCTCTTCCTGCTGTATTCAACAATGAGCTGTGACACTGATCTCCATTGTCAGTCCTGAGCCAGTGTTGGAATTCCACATTTCCGTGGTTGGGTTTAGTCTCCACAAATCCCCACTGTCGCAGACCTCGTTGTGACTTTCAATCTTGAGGTCAACAGTTTGATCTTCTGGCATGGCAGTTGAAACTATCGTTTATTGTTTTATTTTACCAGGTAATGCCCACTGAGAGATATATATATCTTCATCAGGGGCAAACTGGCCACAAATGATAGCTCAACGAAGTGGCTTATCACGTGGAAATATATAGCAGCCAAATACTCTAAACAAAGGGCAAGTTTCATACCCTCACCTCCACACTACCGCACCTGGTTACATCACAGTTAGTCTATCGGCCGTTGTGTGTGGTGGGGTATAATGTGGGTACATCTCAGCTATTCCAAGTTGCCTGACCAGTGTAAAAGAGTCGGCAAAGAGTCCCCTAGAGAGGGTCTCTCTAGAGCTTAGTCGAATAGAGGCCCTCCCGCCATCAGAGCAAATCGCTGCAGAGCTCCACCTTGAGCATTCACCTCAGCTTTAGAGGCGTTGTTGTGATTATTCGGAGACAGGTTAAAAAAATGAAACATTTGA